TTCAAATTCTGGAACATGGAAAAGTGACTCGAAGCAGGTGGCCGGGAGGACTGTGGGGCGACCCTCACTCAGTGTTTTCCCACCACGAGCATCCTCTCTGCCGCCAGCCGTGGTCTCGCCCCTCCGCAGAACAAAGGCTCTCACACCGCCGGCCAGACAGTGAATAAGCGGTGGACAGGGAAGTGGAGAGTGAGGTGGAGGACTTCCTGATGACATCAGCGGTTTCAGTCAGAGATGAGAGCATTTGGAGAATGTCTGCCGGGATTAGCCACACCGCTCAGCTGCAGAGCAGCAGGCACACTCGCCCGGAGGGGACGGAGCCAGCGGGGCCTGTGTCAGACAGAGAGGCCTCAGCTCATTGAAGGGATCGACTCCGGGACAGAAGCATCGACCGAAAGCCCTCTCAAGGGGAGCCCGACGGCCGATGACACAAACAGGCTCAGGAGTGAAAGAGACCCGGCGCTCGCCTCCTGGCTGGACACTCTGGGCCAGTGACTCAATTCCTGTGCCTCAGTTTCTCCCTCTAGAAAGATGACGGTAGAGCATAGGGTTTTGTGAAAAATAAGTAGATGACACTGACAAGGGTCAAGGAACTCACTCAGGTGCTACAATGTGCGGTTCCTGCTCTAGTCCACAGCTCTGCACCTAAGAATCGTGTGGAGAAGAGCCAGCCCACCCACAACGCTGGGGCCACATGGACATGGTGCCACGGGAGCCTGGGGGAGGCGCCTTTTGTTCAGTAAGAATGAGGGTTCAGGGAAGGCTTCCTGGAGGAGGGGTCCCCGCAGGAGCTGGGGGAGAACCTGGCTTCTCACCCCATCTCAAGTAAACAAAGCTTTAAGATACAAAGGTTAGGACAAGGCCATGATGACATGATTCTGAATCTGGGCACTCCTCCAGGGAAACAACTCTACATAAGCAATGGTGCTTTAATCCCCACAACATCCTGGTGAGCAAGTCGGGTGTGGCAGTGCCCAGTCTTAAGCTCTCCAGCTCTGGCGTCACTGCTGGGCAGGAGTCAGACCCACAGGCCTGGAAGGAGAGGCTGGGTCCTGACTCAGGTCACGGCCAGGGGAGAGCACTCCTGCGGCAGCGAGCCAGCGTGAGCGTCTGCTGAACAAAGGGTCTCAGGAGGCTGTGGGGAACCTTGGCCTCAGCATCAGCTCAAAAGGACAAGATTCTGAGTCTTAGGAGCTCCTGGATTTTGGTCCCAAGAATTCCAAGGTCCAACCCAGCTCTAGAAAGTTCTAGAAGGAAGGTCTGTCGCCCCCTCTGGAAATCTGAGTGGGATGGATTCCTATCAGACCTAAACACAGAGGGCAAATGCATCCCACATCCCGAGTCTGAAACAATGTGAGGTAACACCAACGGGCTCCCTGTCCAGAACCAGACTGCTACTTGCTTAGGCTCTGTTGTCCAGGAAGAGCTTCCTCCTGGCTGCTCGCTTCTCCACTGTCGAGAAGGTTGTGGTCCAGAGCTAGGTTGCAACTCCCCACCATTTCCTTAATCCCGAATTCTGGGAGATGGTATTTGCACCTTACACATGGAGAAATGGAGGCTCGGAGAGGTTGGCACAGGGACCACACGCGCAAAGCTGGAGTTCTGCTGATCAACACCACAGTTCTGGTCAACTTAAGTTTACCCTACATGCTCTTAGATGTGGCTTTGTTACTATAGTGCAGGTTCTTAAACAAAAAAGGAAAGAAATGATGGTGGAAAACTGGAAATGTCTTATTAATATAAAAATCGTTGCAGGGGTGGGGATAGGGTGGAGGGGGTCAGTAGGGAAAAGGGGGGACATCTGTAATACTTTCAACATTAAATTAATAAAATCGTAAGACAGTTTTGTTAGTCAGATAAATAGGCTATTATGAGAGATATTCCAGGAAATCATTCTAACAACTGTATTTAGTTAGGGCCGACGTCTCACCAGTCTTACTCTGACTCAAACCAAGGGAGAGGTCCTGCCAGAGACCAGGGCAGGGACAGTAACATTTAGTCAGCACCCAGCAACACAGTGTACCTGGAACTCCAGCCTCGCAAACACAATCAGACATCAAGGAGGAAGAACAGAGACTTCTCAAATGCCATGTGTCACAGACATTTAAACAAAGGGACCCGGAGCTGCTCATCATGCCGGCGTGCGTCAGGGAAGTGACACGACTCCATGCTTCATCAGGAGCCTCTGAGGTGAACTGTGCAGAGGCCCTGAATTCCATCTCCTGCCAAGTGCCCCTTGTCTGCAGGCCCCGCCCACTCCCCCACGCTCTTTTCTCCCCGTGTCTCCTGATGATGTCTTAGACGGCTCCACGGGTCCTCCTCTGACCGCCCTTTCATCGCTGAGGGTCCACCACAGGCCCAGGGCCAGGTGCTGAGGGCAGCGGGGCGAGAGAGAGGCCTAGCCAGGTCCTGTCCCTGCTGGCTCTCAGGTGGTGGTCACGTCCAGTGCAGAGCTGCGTCTGGGCTGGCAGGTAAGTGGGGTTGACTCCTCTGTGCTGACAATCTCACAATCAACGTCTCCAGCTCAGAGCTCTCTCCCAAGTTCGAAAAAATCCACATTTCGAGCCTCTAAGATACTTCCAAATGGCTGTATCGCTGCGACCTCAAACTCCACGTGACTTAGATGTGTTCCGCTTCTAGGCCCTCTCGGTTGTCTAACATGTCCGTCCTTCTAGACACCGTTTATAAATTCCAGTCTTCCTTCACTTCTCTTCAACGTTCAGTTACCAAATCTGACAGTTTTCCTCTGAAATCACTCTCATCTTCATTCCCCTTTCAGGTCCTATCTCGCCTCAATCCAAGCTCTCATTATTTATAACTCAATATACTGCAAAAACATCCTAATGCCTTTA